TCTTTTGCAAATCAAACGACATATCCAACTGACTCTTCGCCACAGTGGATAGTTGTTAGTGATTTTAATAACGACACCCGGCTGGATATCGTTGTCGCTAATTTTTATGGCAACACTGTAAGTGTTCTTCTCGGATATGGCAATGGTTCTTTTGCAAATCAGATGACCTATTCGACTGGTTATAACCCACTTTCTGTAGTTGTTGAAGATTTTAACAACGACACCCAACTAGATATCATTACTGCAAATGCTGGTAGTAACACTATAAGTGTTCTTCTCGGATATGGTAATGGCGCTTTTGCAAATCAAACGAAATATTCAACTGGTTCTGGCCCAAGTTCTATAGCATTTGGTGATTTTAACAATGACACTCGACTGGATGTCGTCGTCACTAATTTTTATGATAACACTATAAGTGTACTACTTCGGTATGACAGAGGAGCTCTGAAAGACAAAATTACATTTGCAGTTGGTAATGGTTCTCATTTTCAAAGCTTTGCAGTTTTTGATTTCAATAACGATAGCCTAATGGATATCGCCGTTGTCAATTATGGTACTAATAATATGGGTGTCCTTCTTGGATATGGGAACGGCACTTTTGGAAAACAAATGATGTTCTCAACGGGCTTAAATTCTTATCCTTACTCAATCACCATCCATGATTTCAATAAAGATGGCCAAGCGGATATAGCAGTGGCCAATTATGGTGCTAAAAATCTTGTTACGTTTTTGGGAAGTGGGAACGGAACATTTGAAAATCAAGCAAGTTACGGCGTAGGTTTCGAGTTCGCTCCACTGTTGGTCGGTGCTGGTGACTTTAACAAAGATGGGCGTTCAGAAATCGTTGTCGCATATGATGGCATCGATTATGTAGATGTGCTTGTTACATACAATACCGGATCTTTCGCTCATCAAATGACATATTCAACAGGCGCTAACACATACTCTGTAGCTGTTGGTGATTTTAATAATGACACCCGACTCGATATCGTCGCCTCTAACTATGATGACAACACTGTTAGTGTCCTTCTCGGATATGGCAATGGCTCTTTTAAAAATCAAATGACATATTCAACTGGCTCCCAGCCAAGATTTGTAGCTGTGGGTGATTTTAACAACGACACCCAACTGGATATTATCGCTGTTAATTATAATGACAATACTGTAAGTATCCTTCTCGGATATGGTAATGGCTCTTTTGAAAATCAAATGACATATTCAACTGGCTTTGGCCCAATTTCTGTAACTGTTGGTGATTTTAATAACGACAACCGACTAGATATCGTCGTTAGTAATTGGAAGGACAACACTACAAGTGTCCTTCTCGGATATGGGAATGGCTCTTTTGCAAATCAAACAACATATGCAACTGGTGCTTCACCAAGATCTGTAGCTGTTGGTGATTTTAATAACGACAGCCGACTCGATATCATCGTCTCTAACTATGATGACAATACTATAAGTATCCTTCTCGGATATGGCAATGGCTCTTTTAAAAATCAAATGACATATTCAACTGGCTCGAAGCCATGCTTTGCAGCTGTGGATGATTTTAACAACGACAGCCGACTGGATATTGTCGTTGCTAATTGTGATGGTAACACTATAAGTGTCCTTCTTGGCTATGGTAATGATTCTTTTGCAAATCAAACGACATATTCAACTGGCCTTGGTCCATATTCTCTAGCAGTTGGTGATTTTAATAATGACACCCGACTGGATATCGTCGTTGTTAATAGGAAGAATAACACTATAAGTGTACTTCTCGGATATGGTAATGGTTTTTTTACAAATCAAATTACCTATTCAACTGGCTTTACTCCTTCATGTGTAGTCGTTAGTGATTTCAATGCCGACAACCAACTGGATATCGTTGTAGCTGATGCGAATGGGAAAAGTGTTACTGTACATCTCGGATATCCCAACGAAGGTTTTCTAAAACAAATGAGTCTTATAACTGGAAATGGATCTCGACCTAGGTCGTTCACCAATGGGGATTTTAATAATGACGGTCAAATAGATATTGCAGTTGTGAATTCAGGCACTAACAACATCGGTGTTTTTCTAGGATATGTCAATGGTTCTTTCGCAAATCAAATGACATATTCAACTGATTCCTCTCCATGTGCAATAGCTGCTGGTGATTTCAACAACGATACCATACTTGACATTGTTGTCGTGAATCGTGACAATGACACTATTGAAGTATTTCTTGGATACGGTAATGGCTCTTTTTTAAGCCAAAAACCGTTTACAACCGGTTTTAGCTCTCAACCGAATGCGGTTACCGTTGGCGATTTCAATAACGACAGCTTTCTAGACATTATCGTCGCCAATTATGGCAGCAACACTGTAGGTATACTACTTGGATATGGTAATGGTTCCTTCGCAGATGTAAAGGTTTTTTCGATCAGTTATGGATCTCTTCCATTCTTAGTTTCCATTGGTGATTTGAACAATGATGGAAAGCTAGATTTCGCCGTCGCCAACGAAGGTGCTGACAATTTAAAAATTTTCTTACAGACTTGTTAATATTGCAACTGCTGACTCGAATTTGTTTTCATTGATTTCCTATTTCTAACTTCTATTTAGTGTTACTAATACTTCTTTTAACTTATCTTTTGTATTTATCTCTTGATTTATATGCTCATAAAAAACATATTTAAGCGTGGGTGCATCAACCAAACAATGACACGTTTCTACCTTACTCTGAAAGGTACTCATCATTCAGTTTTGACTAAGTATCCATTCAAATGACTCATATGATCACAAATATGATACATAATCCACAAGTTTCACAACAAATTCTCAAAAGAACTCCCGTTGTAATAGTAGACATTGTTATTTTAGTGGTGATCAAAGCAAACATCGAGTCGTTTCGATCTCGCTTAAGAGTCTGATAGGATTATTTTGACTTCATCTCTGTTTAAAATGATCCAAGAATATAGAATACTCAAATAGGTAGTGAAATAATATCAGAGCGCTCGTGAGCGCTATAGAGTCGCACTTGGGTGTAGATGTGCCAAGGAAACCAAGACGCATTTCGATCTTGTTTAAAACGTTGGTATGGATATATGTCCTGTTATATCAAGGTCTATATCCACTCACTGAAAATCGTACTCACACCTTATACCTTAGGTTATGATCAAAAGTGTACGGAAGTAACTAAACAAGTCAGCAGTACAAACACAGAAGTCAACTTGTCTTCTGATTTCAAATGTCATCGTTCTTCGATTCGACGATCAACATTTTGATGGTTTTGTCTTATACTATTCAGTTTTGATGTGTTGATATTCATGGGATCATTAGGCTTTGTTTTCAGCTTGCATTGAACCACACAGTCTTCAGATTCGGTATGGAACTTGAAGTCGCGATCATTCCATTTTTTTCTACTATCGAGCATCTTACACGTCTCGGTTCAAATGTGTCATTTGGCAATACATCGCCTAGAACGGATTCATTTGCATCATCTTTTCCCTTTTTTCATACCGTCCAAACATGCCTTTCGACTATCAGTGATTGAATTAATTGTACATACACTCATTTTTCGAACAATTTTTCACATAGTTTCTTATCCTTCTGAACACAGAGATCTGTCCAGGCCTCGCAACCGTACTACTTTTCTAAGTTTTTCTTGATTTTTTAGAACCGTCCTGATTTTACTACTTTTGATGAGAAATCCTGATTTTATCCCGATTTTTCATGATCCGTTCTTATAGCACTATATGTACATGATTATGACGTGCTCTTTCGTTAGAATCAGTTTATTTTCAAAATTTATATAAAAATCTTTATAAAGTATTATTAACAAAAAAACGCAAAGATAACATTCAAATAATATTTATTTGAATCATTTATCTTTTCTGTTTTTTTCGTAATCGGTTCGAATTTTATTATTTTCAATTAATTGAGTTTTTAAAATAGCTAGCTTGGCATTAGCAGCTGTTACAAGTGCTTCAACTGTGCCGATATCATCAAATTTCTTATTATTTATAGCTGCAGAAAGTCTCACACTCCCTTTCTCCAACATTTTAGTTGCATGAATCAATTCTTCTTATAAATTCTTTTGTTCGTTCATCAATTCCATTTCTTTTTCTTCTAATCGTTCATGTTCAACATTAGATGATCATTTTCCATTAATTATATCAATATTTTTCATTAATTTTTGTTGTTCTTCATTATCTTTTACATAACGAGAATGTGCATCTTGGACGTTTGAAAGTAAAACAGATGTTGTTTGAACCTTAAAAATAAAAATCAGAATATTTTGAATAAATCGGTCGTATTTTTATCATATGAACTTTACCATCATATACAAGATAATTGTTTTGAGAAAAACCTCTTTTTATATCACTGTTGCCATGTGATAAAGATAATAAATATTTGACGAGTTTTGTCAATACCACATGCTGTGGTGCACTAGTTGTTGTAACAGTAGACATTACTTTATACCAATATTTTTCAATAGGTACATATTCGATGATGTTGTTGGAAGAAGTTGAACTTCCTTTAATCCAATCTTCGGATATCTCAGCCATCTCATAAACATGCCATTCAGCATCAACTCTATCTACTTCCTCGCTGTTTAAAGGATGTGGTAGATTTCGTACAAGATAGATAATACTAGTTCGAAAAGATTCTTCTTTTTCGTGCTAAATGTTGATGAAATTGAAGGTGTGTCATAAAAAGTCGTTATTAATTGGTAATGATTTGATTAATTCTTTCTGAAACATCATATTCCAATGATATAAATCCTTTGAAATAACTTACTTACTGTAGTAGTACAATAGATTTGACGAATATCTTGAAAAAAGATTATTTTTTCATCCGCAGATAAAACTTTAATGTACATTTGTGTATTTTCAACAATATCAATATTTAAATTGTTCTTTTGATTGTTTTGTAACTCGAAAGAAACAGACAACAGTTGAATTTCTTCTTTATTTTTTATAAGTTCTTCTTTAACAAATGACAGCATCACATTGTATAATAGGTTATAACATCCGCCATAAAGCAAATGTATCAATGGTTGTTCTTATTGTAACCATACAAGTTGTTTTTTAAATATTGTTCGATGTAGAAAAAGAATAAAATAGAATTTGGCAAATGTCGACTTATCATTAATTGAATTTTTAATTCTGTTGTATTTATCATCAGATTCGATGTTTTTGTCTGTTGTTGGTAGATATGTAAGAAAGTATTCTTGAATAATATTTCATTGATCTATTAAACGTTCAATAACAAGACCTACTATTAGGAGATGCCTTGGGGCCCTCAAGTCCTACTTATTGGGACTACCTTGAGGTTCGCAAGTCCTACTATTGGGGGTATCCTTAGATACTCAAATCCTACTATTGGAGAGCACCTTGGAGTCCTCAAGTCCTACTATTAGGAGATACCTTTGGATCCTCAAATCTTACTATTAGGAAGTACCTTAGGATCCTCGAGTCCTACTATTGGGGGTACCTTGGGGTCATTAAGTTCTACTATTGGGAGGTACCCATAGGTCCTCTCTTTTAGGCTGTGAGTATGAAGGTGAGTGTATATTTCGATCAACACATGAGTAGTGTAGACGTGTATGTGTATCTTTCGTTGGTTGTATCTCCACCGCCATCCACATCTATAGTCTCGATGACTTTAGTTAAAACAGATATACTTACTTGAAACAAATTAATTGATTAAATGATTGACGTAGAAATTTCGATATTCTTTATAATCAGCCCTTCAATTATTTCATGTTATATATGTTGGAAAAGATTTTTTCAGAGGAAAATTATATTTGTGGCATAACCTTAATATTTCCTCAGTATATCCATCATGTATTCGAATAGAAAAAGCTTTTAATGTAATAACTACGGAATTGAAACGTGAAACACGATCGAGTCGCTCTTATGGCATATGTGGACTCTCATGATGTTGATCATAACAACGAACGCTATTTTAAGGATAAAATTGCTTTTCAGCGAAAGAAGTTTTGTTGAAAATATTTGCAGAGACAAACGAATAGTGTGAATGTAAGCAAAACACATTTGACATTTATTTGAGGTATCGTGTTATACGAGCCAAAGATCTTATAACAGTGACTAGCCTTGACAAATTTTTTCGACGACAAGCAACCAATTCAATTAGGGAAGCAGATTTTGACATGTCTGTCATAGCCTGTAGAGCAGATTTTGGAGCTTTATTATGAAAGTTAAACGAACGTTCTACAATATGAAACAACTTTGAAATAGTTTCATTGATAAAGCAGAATCATATATTGTCGATGAGGCCCTATAACAATATAGCTATAGTATATCAATTTACGAATAATCATTTAAATGCACTATTATACTTGGAGAAATTTACTAGAATTAAAGAAACAATTTTCCCAACTGATTTTTCGATTCTAGCTGTTCTATACAGCAATATTAGTATTATACATTATTCACAGGACGATAACCAAGCTGTGCTTTTATACATCGAGGAAGTATACTATATTTAAAAAAAATATTTTCATTTCTTCATTCATCACTCACTAGCTCCTATTACAATCTAGCCGCAGGATAGGTATTGATGAAGAACAAGTCCTTGTCGTTTTTGTTCACACAAGAACCGATTGAATGAAAATCGAACTCATCGTGTCTTTTGTTTAATGCACACATCTACACACACACACTCGATTAAGAAAGAGAATAAAAATATCTATGCATTCGTCAACTTTCCTCATAATAAAAGAATCTTGATGATCGTATTTATATGTGCTGAATTGAAAATTGTTACAGGATCATATACTTATAGTATTTATGAATGTTATAAAACATTCTTAAGAGGGAGCCACAAGTAGGAACAGTTTTGAAAACTATCTTATTATTGTTGACCAAAGTCATAAAAAGAAATAGAAAATTATTTTTCTTTGTCAAGACTAATTTGTTGGTACTATTTTGGATTTGTGGAATGATAATGAATATGTATGGATGATTGTTTGGAACCAATAGAAGATATGAAATGAAAATTCTTAATTCATTGTAAAGAAATAACTTTAATTCATTTACTATAACTTTAACTCAACGGTACAAGGTGAATTCATCTATGTTATCTTCTCTGAATAATCCATATGAAAAGCAACAAAAAATTTTCAAAAATATACTGAGCATTAGAGGTCATTTTAAATAGATTAGCAAAAGCTTTTGTTTTTTTGCACATTATAAGAAATGAAAAAAAAAAATTAATTGATCCTTTAGTTTTATATTAAACAAAATTAGTTAAATAAGAAAATAGAAATTGCTTCTTTTCTATTAAAGATAAATACCGATGATGAAAATCGATTAAAATTAATTGAAAAAATTTTTATTCTTTCTTTTTAAATTCAAACTCAATCAGATAGTCCTCAATTATTTTGTGATTATTTTGAATGATTTACTCAATTATTAAATGAAATCTTTCACAAAAAAATATTCATAATTAAAATCATCTATTGAAATAATTATTTTATCAAAATATTTATCCTTATCATTCAATAAATATTATTAAATTTGAATATTAACTTCGTTTAATACCTTATTCATTACATCAAAATTTACAAATATTTGAATTAAAAATAAAAAAAAAAATAATTATCTTAATCAACTTTTTCATCATAAATTTTTAATTTCTTTAAGTATTATTTGTCATTTATCATTATAAATAGTTATTCTAATTTATGAACATAATCTTTATCAATTATTTGATAATAATTTCTTTTCACATATTATTAAACTACTTTTTTTTTTGTTTCAGATCAAAATTTTTATATATGTTATACTCTTGCATAATTTTTAGCATTATATATTTCTAAACATTATCAATATAAATTATTTAATCAGCATAAACAAGAATTATTAATTAAACAATTGAATATTTATCAAAAATCTATCAGATAGTATAGCAATAAGGACATTTATATTAAAAACAATTCGATATATAATTGATGAAGATCATATTGTATCTTATTTAAATCATATTCTAGAAAAATCTTTATCTGATTATGTTTATATAATTTTAACAATAATTTCATCTCGTTTATGAATATCATGATTGAATTAATAAATTAAGTGTTTGTCTTAAAGGTTTATTTCTTTATATGAAAGATATAGATATTGAAGAAATTGATGAAAATGAATAAAATAGTAAGTTCTTTCTATCTATTATTCATTTTTTGGTTTTTTTTATTAATATATATACACTTTGAAATGTCATCTTTAAGACATACACTAGACACTATGTAACGGAGGTATTTCTTTATTTGGAAAAATATTGCTTTAGTGTTTTTCGGCAAGATTCATAAAATTTTTTTCTAGTATAAAAAAACAAACTTCTTTTTAAGGTCATCCCCTCAAAAATGAATTCCAGGCCAGAAACATTTAAATGACATGAAATTTTCAGTCCCGTACTATGGATATTTGAGGAAGATATTGGCCAAACGAGAGTCAAGAAATAGCTCGTTTCGTCTCCAAAAATTCGCTTTCTTTTAAACTTTTACTTTTGAAGGAAAAAAAGGGATCGAAAATTCAATGAGTTAAAAAAGCCTCTAAAATGGTGCTCTTATTATATAAATGTTTGTATATATACTAAAAGCCAAGCTTAATCAAAAAAGGAACTCTCATAGGCAGTGCAGTTCTACACTGCTCTTTCAAATAAAAGAAAATCCTATTAGCTACAATGAAGTTACTTCGAGAATTCTTGGAGATGCGATCGAAGACTATAAAATGAGAGAAAATGAAAAAGATTTTCGGTTTTTTTTCAAAGACAGCTCATTTTTCGAATGAAGGAATGACGAAAATCTTCAAAAATTTTTGGAAAAAAAACCGAGGTGCCGAAGAAAAATTTTTGTCGCTTATGAGAAATCAGATGACGGACTATCGTTCCCTACGTTTATCTTAATTTCGATTATTCTAACGAAAAGTAACTTTTTTTCAGAGGCCTTAATGTATGTTTGATATTTTAACATTTTTATTGAATGTACAAATAATATAAGGAAATCAAAAATAAAATAGCCATTCCAACTACTGTCCAGTACTTGTAAAAAAAAAAAGATTTTCAATTCAATTGAACGTAGTATGTTGGATAAACGGGGAAGAGTTATTTTGACCATATGCGAGTTCAATATCTCATAGAAGACAGTATTTGGAAATTTTGAGTTTAGTACAATTTTTGCTTTACTCTTTAAGATCTATCTACCGTCTATTATATAGTTTTAGTTAATGGAAAAGATGAATTTAATGAATTAATAGAATCTATATGTTGTGAATTATATGAAAGAAATATTCAATCAATAAATTTTGTATCAATTGTTCTTGATACAATTCAACCATTTATAAATAATTCAAATCCATTTATTTATAAATTTGATTTTTATTTATGAACAATTCTTATAATGTTAATTAAAGAAAATAATCATAATAAAATTTTAGCACAAATTATAAATTTGTTTTGAAAGATTACAAGAATTTACTTTTTTAATAAATATTGATTATAATCTATATGATATTAGGAGCAAATACACTTATCAATCCCCCCCCCCCCCATGTACCGACCTAATTCGAGTAATTAGCCCCCCGAGGAGTTCATTAAAAGTATTGCTAAGGATCCGAGACCAATACTTTAAGAGATAAATCAATTCGAAAAAAGTTAAAAATATACTAAGTGAGGGTGAGAGTAAGGAAGCATAATCGATGGATCAGAATAAATGACCGTATTTTGTATTTTAGTTTTTTTCTCATCTAATAGGCTTTATAGAAAATAAATGCGGAAACTTCGGATTTAAATCCGAGAGTTATGTGTACTTCAAAAAGTGAATTAGACCGATGAGTCATCCTAGAATATGTGGATATCAAAATTATACTGGGAAACCTTTCCTATAAACTGTTTATTTCTGCTGGCTATTGGTCCATCAATAGGGCTTGGAGGCGAATAGAGCTCAAATTTGAACTCTTCGCCTTGATTAACCCTAAGAAAGTCGTTTTTTCCTATAACTTGATTACTATTGGTCACTGCTCAACCAATAATATTTCGAGGCAAATGGAGTACGGATTCGAGTTCTCCGCCCCAGAAAACCTCAAAGTATCAACTCTATGATCGGAAGATAGAGCTCGAATTGTGAGTCAATTAGATCGTGGACAAAAGCGGAACCCATTTCCCTTTAATTATCTTTGTAATAGGTGAGTTAGCCTTCTTGTTACTTTATGTTTTATATACCATTTTGTAGCTCGTGAAATTCTCTATCGAAAGGTATATAATAGTTGGGGTTTTATTTAACTATGATAGGAAAATTTGTTTACGAAAGCCAAGATGGGTCAGTTTTCGCATAGGAAAAAATGAGTATTTTTGCAATAACTCAGGAATGGTTCAGCCAATTCTTCTCATCTTCGAACTCGACCGAGACATTGATAAGACTGAACTGTGTAGAAAATTTCATCGCGATTGGACTCTCCTTTCAAAAGTTATCGTGTTAACGGCCGGCCGGACGGACGGACATACTGACCGATTCTAGAGTGTACTCACTTTTTGAGTACACAAAAACAAAATATATCAAAAGATGCAACGTGAAAAGCTTTACAAATTACATGAAATCGCTTACTTCATTTATATACTTTTTGTTTTGAAAATGCACAAAACATTGAGCCAGCGAATTTCGACTTTTCGAAAATTGGTCGCAGAGGATCTTGCTTTTTCAGAAAACAATTACAACAAGCTTTACAGTACAAATTGTAGAGCTTTTTACACTGCATCTTCTAATATATTTTCTGTGTTTTTGCAAAAATATATTAAGTAACAAAAAGATAATAAAAGGAAAAGACAAGTCTCGTCCATACGAAAAAATGATTCTTTCTCGATGGCGAAAATTGATCGCACAGAATTTAGCTTTTTTTGAAGACAAAACGGATATAAAATAAAATAAGATTTATTTTGTGGATTATAGAGCTTTTCACGCTGCATCTTGTAATATGTTTTGTTTCTCTTTTAGTAAAGCATATCAAGTGAGAAATAACAAAAAAATGAATTCGTTCTATAGCAAAAAAGAAATTATCTTTTTTGGACGATCGAAGTTTGGTCAATCAGAATTTTGTTCATTTTTAAAACAAAAAGTGTAATTATAAAATAACCCGTCTTATGTAAATGGTAAAGCTTTTCACGTTGCATCTTTTTTTTTTTTTTTTTTTTACAAAGTCTATTAGATGAGAAAAAACTAAAATACAAAATACGGCCATTTATTCTGACCTACCTATTATGCTCCCTTACTCTCACCCTCACTCTGCATATTTTTAACTTTTTTCGAATCAATTTATCTCTTAAAGTATTAGTCTGGGCCCCTTGGCAATACTTTTAATAAGCATTTCAGAGGCTAATTAGGTCAATACATGAGGGGGAGGGGGTCGATAAGTGTATTTGTCCGAATAAGATTAATAGAAAAATTTATCTTGAATCAATTTGTTCTATTTTAGAAATAATTCTTTTTCAAGATAATAATAAATTATTACAATGGGATAATCAAGATTGTGTTTTTTATTTTTTAATTCAATTAATAAAAATTTTTCATTATAATCAATATCCGTCATAGTTTATAAATAAATTTCTTCAATCTATTATTGAAAAATTTATTCATAATAATAATAATGAATATACATTTAAGTAAGTCTTATTGATTTTCTTGCTACACTTATTCAATATGATTGAATTTTACTATTAGATAATTATCTTACAACAAATTTTATTCAACTTACACATTATTCTCCTGGTGATGCTGTTCGTTATTCACTTGCACATAGATGGTTTATTATTTTAACTAAAGCAATAGATAAGAATATTAATAAAATAAAAGAAATTAATTATTATTTTTCTTTTGGATTAAATACAAATTTTAATTCATTATTAACAATTATTATTAATCAAATACCTCTATTAATTGAAGATGATGGTCATGAAACTGAAATTCAATGTCATTGTACAGATTCTTACAAGAATATGTTTCATTCACTCATTTTGTTTTGTCATAGGGAAAGGCTGGTTCTGTTGAAAATGCTCAGAAAATTTTTCAATCTATCGATAATCCTAATAATATTACATACAATGCAATAAGTAAAAAAAAAAGATTTTTTGTTTATCATTGTGTTTGTATTAATTTCTTTTGTTTTTCAAGTTAATGCCTATGGACTTAATCGAATGGGTTTAGAAGCTATTGATTTATATCGAAAAATGCCCCATCATTTACGTGATGAAGTGACATATGTATGTGTATTAAATGCATGTTCTCATTCCGGTCTTCTTAATGAAGCTCATTCCATCTTCAATGAAATTCTTCAGAAAAATAAACAAGTTATTACTACGATGGTTTGTTTATTTATTTGTTTATTTTATCAAATATGAATATTATTTTATGTTTTAGATTGATTGTTTAAGTCGTCTTTATATATTTGATGAAGCACAAAAACTCATAGATGATTATGAAAAATCTAATCCACCTTCTTCAGTTATGTATAGTAAGTCTTCTTGAAATTCGATTTTTTCTTCTTTATTATTGATTTATATTTGATTTTAGTGGCAATATTATCTGGAGCACGTAATTCTCATCAACATATTTTATCGAAAAAAAACAATCTATGATCGAATGAAAATATTATTTCCTGATTGAAAAAGAGACACTCATATCTGGTTTAATTTTTCTTTGTAATACATATTCATCAGTAGGTGATTATCAACAAGCAGAGAATTTTCGATCAAATCGCATTAGAGAGTTAGGAACAAAGGTTAAACCAGGAGTCTCATGGACAGAATTCAATGGTGAAATATTGGTAAGAATATTTTCTAATTAACATTGTCGAGTTGGAATGAAAAAAAAATCTGTTTATTTTGTGTTATTTTTCAGGAGTTCAAAGCTAATGATCGTTCTCATCCTCAATCTGAAGAAATTCATGCTAAAGCAAAATATATATCCGATGTATTGATTAAATATGGCTATAATTATGATTCCAGTTGGATAACTCGTCCATTACGTGAAGATGAAACAATTGAGTCAGTTTTATGTACTCGTCGCGAGCGACTTGCAATCGCTTATTATTTTATCCAACAAGAAAACCCCAAATTTATTCAGATCACCAAGAATTTTGTTATGTGTGGCAATTGTCATAAGTTGTTCTTGCTTTATTTTTCATATCATTATAAGTAACTTATGGATTTATTCTTTTAGATGGAGCGACAAAACTCATTGCAAAATCTGGCAATGTAAAATAGAGTACGTGATGCTAATTGTATACATTAGTTCTCTCCTGATGGAACATGCTCATATCAAGAACATTTTTAGTTGTTATTTATGTTTTCTTTTTTTTTCTTGTATTTTTTTATCACTTTTTCATATGGAATAATAAACAACATGTAATTATGCCTGTTTTTTCGACATAATGAAGATCATATTAAAAGAAAAAACAGATGAAAATGAACATAATCAAGAATGACACCTATAATGTTATCTACATGTCTCAAATTGATTCAAATCAGTCAGGTTAAGGAGAAGAAAAACAATTAACATTGATTCATAATTATTGGTTCATCATTCATGACCGGAATAGGTTCATTTCTTGAGGGTGGGTGTGTGTGTCAGTATTACCTAAGAAGTTCAAGCATCACCTAGAATGCTACAGGTTTTTGTTGAGATGCTTTAGACATTATCTGAAACGCTACACAAAGTACGTGACAAGCTTGAACTACGATGAGGAACTGAGTGAGAATAACGGTGTGCACAGAGATGTGCATGGGTCACGACACTGAAATAAAAGGTGTGTTAGGCGTGGAAAAGCGCTTCCCCAATGAATATTTCAATAGCTTGAAAGTTGAAATTTGAATTCAAGTTTCAAGTTTTACATATATGCTCTAGTTTCGAGAGACTTTCTTCCTTGAATCTTCTTCCTCTCTCACCAAAA